CAGCCGCCCTGGGCTTTCCCTGCTGCGCAGGACCAAGAACAGTCCCTTGGTACCTTACCCCTTTCGTGCCAAAGGATGGAATCCCCGCAAAAACATCTTGGTTAGGAACTGAGTCTTGGGGTTGAAGTTGAGGTTCTGGAATGAATTAAGGAGAGACAGGGATATTAAGTGCACAGAGAAGGAAACTGTGGAATCGAGATGACCTATAAAGTAATCTAGGCATATGCAGATTTTTTTTAAAATACTGATCATAAGTATAGGAAGAAGCTGTGAAGAGGAGGAACGTATCAAAGTGCAAAGGAAAATTTTAAGGTGTTTGGCTATGTGAGGAGTTACCTAATCACAGAAACGATGAATGGAGATAGTAAATAATCTGCTAAGAAACGATTCTATGAAAATTGGGACTGATGTTGAGAGAAAGCACTAGTAAGAACACTCAGTGGGGAGGAACTGGATCAAATATATACACGAAAATGCTACGTGTGAAAAGGAGCTAGGATGATCTGTCCATGAAACCAGAGCAAGGTATCAGAGACGAACAGGGAAGGAAAAGAGGAAAGAAAGTGGAATTTACTAAGGGAGCTCAGCCAAACAGCCTTCCCCACCAAGGGCGCTGAAAGCGGTTCTTCTTCCCAACAGTTTCCAAATCTAATACTCCTCCCTCCCCACCAGAGCCAGTGCTCCCCTAATCTGCCGGATGCTCACCTGCATGGGCTCCTGGGAAGAGCCCTCTCTCGGTGATGCAGAGCTCTTCTCTTGGCTCCAAATGGGAGAACGTACTGGGTGTGCAGAGTTGATCTCCTGCTCGTGGGGAAAGATGCAGCAGGTGAGCAGACCGTGCCTGCCATGAGATGGGGGCCTATATTCTGGAGTCTTTAGGGGCCCTGGAGGTGGGAACAGCAAAATGACAGCACCTCCACTCTGATGGCACAGCCGAGGTCTCTCACTAAGGAACCAAAGTACAAGCTCCCTCAATGGGTCCTGGAGGACACTGGGAATCTCCAGTCCCCAAAACCTGGGGCCTGACTCAGGGGCGGACTTGAGAAGCCCAGAAATAGCAGATAGACCTTCATTTCCGCAGGGAAGCCACTAGACTATAAGCACCATGAGGACAGGACTCGTCTGTCTCTTCACCTCTCAATTTCCCAAACCATCATCATACCGGGAACACACCAAGGCCGCGGGAGTGTGTGGATGAAGCACTAAGGCCAGCCTTACCCACGGAGGCCAGGTTCCTATAGTTCTCCAGCATCACGTCTCTGTACAGGCTTCTCTGAGCAGAGTCCAGAAACAGCCATTCTTCTGGTGTGAACAGCACAGCCACATCGGCGAAGGTGACTGGTTCCTAAAATGCACGCACACCCACCCACTCCAGCTCAGTCAGGGGCCACCCCCACCCCAGTACTCAAGAGAATGGTGGGCAGCTTGCAGGCCTGGGGAAGGGAAAACTCCAACCCCACCCAACACAGAGGATTTTCAGACAGGGTTCTGAGGTCTCTTGGCTCAAGCCTCAGAACCAGAACCCTTCTCCATCTACTCTTCCCTCCCGAAAGACAGCATCCCGAGGTGTGGCAGCAAAGGACCTCAACTTCAAGTCAGGGCTTAGGACCCTCCAGCTCCAGGGCCCAGCGGACCTGAGCGTGCTGCAGGCAGAAGGAGGACACTTGGTAAAAGACACAGTTTGCTCTTGGGAGACTGACAACTGTGAGACAAGGACAGCTCACATCCTCGCCCTGCTTTCCCTCCTGCTGCTCAGCTGAACATGGCCCCCAGTTCCCCAGGGAATGCCTGGATAAGGGAGTGTGGTCGCTGCCTCCCCACTGCTAGAAGCCCAGTGCCTGGAAGCCTGGAGACCAGCCGAGGGGACGAGAAGCTCCCAGACAGGGGGAGGGGACAAGGAGGCAAAGCAAGAAAAAGGCTAAGGATTTCTTACTCACCTGTAGACAGGCAGTCAGTACCCCAGGAGCCACAGCTTCACCCCTTGTGCTCACCTCCTGGGGCCAGGCGGGGTCCTGAGAGGGCAGACCTACAGGAGAAGAGGGGGCCCTGAGGGACTGGGCTGGCCCAGTGAGGACATCAGTTCTTCGGGATCAGGACTGCACCCTTATGACCTCATTTAACCCTAATAACCTTCCCTTGAAGCCCGGTCTCTGGTAGAGTCCAATACATGGGAGGTCAGAGCTTCAATATACGAATTTGAAGGGGAGAGTCCATAGCATCTGAAGACATTCTTGGATGTCATGTCTAGGATGTTACGGGCTGAACTGTGTCCCTCCAAAGCTTCATATGTTGAAGTGCTAACCCCCAGTATCTCAGAAAATAACTGTATTTGGACACAGGGTCTTTAAAGAGGTCTTTAAATTAAAAGGAAGTCAGTAGGGTAGGTCCTAATCCAGTATGATTGGTGTCCTCATAAGAAAAGGAAGTTTGGACACAAACACGGACAGAGGGAAAACACAGGAAGAAGATGGACATCCACGAGCCAAAGAGAGATGCCTAGAACAGATCGCAGCCCTCAGAAGAAACCAACCCTGCCAGCACCTTGATCTTGGACTTCTGTCCTCCGAAACTGTGAGAAAACAAATTTCTGTTGTTTAAGCCGCCCAGGCTGTGGCAGTTTGTTATGGCAGCCCTGGCAAACTAAGACAGAGGGAGGTGGTATCTGGAGGTCAGTGAGTGGAGGCCAGGGATGCTGCTAAACATCCCACAGCACACAGGTCGGCCCCACCGCAGAGAATGACCCAGCCCCAGTGTCAGTAGTGCTGTGGTTGAGAACTGGTCTAAACTTACATTTCCCACAGGTCCTCTCTGCCCCCCAAGATAAAGCCCTCCTGTTATATGTTTCCACTGCCCTCTGGTCTCCATTTTAAAACCTGACCACTAAATATATCCAGGGGAAATTCTAATTTGAAAAGATACATGCACCCCAATGTTCACAGCAACACTATTTACAACAGCCAAGATATGTAAGCAACCTAAAATGTCCATCGACTGATAACTGGATAAAGAAGTTGTGGTATACACACATACACACACACACACACACACACACGTATACATACATACATACATACATACAGTGGAATATTACTCAGCCATAAAAATGCCATCTGCAGCAACATGGATGGACATAGAGATTGTCATACTAAGTAAAGTAACTCAGAAAGAGAAAGACAAATGTCATAGGATATCACTTATATGTGGAACCTAAAAAATGATACAAATGAACATATTTACAAAATGAAAACAGACTCACAGACAGAGAAAACAAACTTATGGTTACCAGGAGGAGAAGGTGGGTGGAGAGATAAACTTGGAGTTCAGGAGTACAAACCACTACATGTAAAACAGATAAACAGCAAGGTCCTACTGTATAGCACAGAGAACTATATTCAGTATCATGTAATAGCCTATAATGAAAAAGAATATGAAAAGGAATATATATATAAAACTGAATCGCTATGCTGTACACCAGAAACTAACACAACATTGTAAGTTGACTATACCTCAATGAAAAAAAAAACCTGATAGCCCAGCCACACTGCCAGCTCTGCAGGGGAGGGTGTCAGCATCCTGTCTGCCATCGTTTCCAGTGCCCATCTCCCCACCGGGTGACAGTGTCACTTCTAGAGTACTTCAGGAGCACAGAGTACTCCAAGGACTTCAAGAGGACTTCACAGAAGGGCCTGGCATAGAAGGCTTACCAAAAATACACAGGAGAGTGATACATAACCCAAACCTAAAAATTACTTCCTGTCCATGATCTGGTACAGATTCCAAATCTTAGACTGGATGATCTTGTTGAGAAACAAAGTTTATTTCTCTCACTCCAAGGCAAGATGGAAGGAAACCAATGCCTTGCAATTAAAGCTAAGATGTAATTTGTCCTCCAGAATTAAATTTTTCCCCCCATGTCTCAGGAGATGTGGCTTTCAACCTCATTTTTTTTTAAAGCTCAGTTCAAACATGTGCTGCTTATAGTCAATTCAAATTGTAACCTTCAGTATGGACGTAATTGTGCAGGGAAAAATTTAACTGTGCCCAAAAAGCGGTCTGGCCATTGCCACAGCTGAGTGGGGTCTGCTCTTTCCTAACAAAAGGATCTGAGACCAAAAAAAAAAAATCTCAGCCCACAATCCTTAAAAAGTGCCCTTCCCCTCGAGTACAGATAATGAGCAAAGACTTCCTGTGTCCTCTCCCTGATGCATAGCAGTGACTACAGTCAAAGGAAAAGGCGGCGGGATGCAAATTCCCAGACACAGGACAGGAGCGGGGGCCCTGCGGCTGCCAGTTCCACCCAGTGCTCACTCACCACAACCTCCGGCCACCCGCAGGTTAGGAAGGCCCCTCACAGGCTCCGGCGTGGCCACCCTCTGAATCTGCACAGCCACCTTTGGCCCCTGGACAGAGTGACGGGAACAGAGGAGAGTCACACAGTCGGTGGGATCCGCTCACACCTGCTCACCCGGACTGACTCTGCATGGCTGGCCCTGCTTTGGGGAACATACTGATAAAAGGAGGAACATGACCTGTTTACCTGGTCCAGACTGACAATTCTTCGATACAAAGCTCATCACTGTCATAGAATTTCAATTCCAAGATGGGACGGAGATAGGGGGCCCTGGTAGAGGAGGCCTCCTCTGCGTAGCCTCCAGCAGTGGGGTAAATGCTGGAGCAAACAGGGGCAGGGGGTGGCCAGCAGATGAAGGTGTAGAGAGAGGATACAGAGGCGGACCCCTGCAAATGAGGGGAGGTGTAAATTATTCCCACAGGGAAGCCCTGTGTGGGAGAAAGGACTCTCCTATACCGCCGGCCACTCCCTCCAGAAAGGTGTTCCAACTGACTTGCATTTCTGAGATGCCTCTGGTCTCTGTGTCCAGGGTGGGACCCAGTGGCAGCTGGCGCCTATCCAGAGCAGTTCCCGGGGGTCCAGGGGAACTAATGGGGGCTCTGGGCAGGGTGGTGACACTAGGGCCAGGAGGAGCAGTAAGAGGTAGGTTCATATTTTGGAGGAAAAGCTGGCAGGAATTGGTGGTGGGCAGGAAGGGCAGGGCCTTCAGAGCAGGTGATAGGCAGGGACCCATAAGACGAGGCCCCTTCTCCTCAGGGCAGGGCTCAAAGCACACCTTAAAGTGTCCTTCTCTGTAACTCTCCCCACCTTAGTACAAAAACACAAGGCCCTAAGCCAAGGGCTCTGTTACCAGCCTGGACACTCCTGGCCCAGCCCTTGGGTCACAGGACTCACTCATTGCTGCAGGTTTCCTGGCCATGGACTGGGGGGAAATGAGGGTGGAAGAATTGGAGGGGAAAGAGCTGGACCCAGAGAGGCAGGGCCTAGGCCCCAGGTGTGAGCCCCTCCCCTAGGACTGCTCTGGGCGCGACATCACACTGGGGATATTTGCATTCAATACAGAAACGCTTGTTCAGTAGTTCTTATCAGGGGCTAAGCCAGGACAGCCAGCATGTCCCCAGTTTCCAAGAGTTGGCCCTAGATTCCTCCCTCCCTCCAACTTCCACACTCACAGAAATCCTGAACCCCAGGCATTCCTGGCCGGGGTTGGGGCCCTGCCAGCAAACCACTTCTCAGGCTTACTGTGTATCCAGCAGACCAAGGTGACTCCCGGGGGGCTGACCGGTCCTCTGGAGTTGGAGGTGCTCCCCTCGCTCCCATCGCGGGCCTGATCTGCATCCTCAGGTCCAGCCCCGATCCCTGGGGAAAGGCGTGCAGGGTGCTGAGCAGGACAGAGGTGACCTCAAGGCTCTTCTCACCCTCGGAGACCCTAAGTTTGGGGGCAGTGCCATCAGAAGTTGGGGAATGCGGGTCTGGCAGTTTCAGACCTGGTGACACCCGCTACTGCACTGTGGGCGCCAGCCACCGATGAGGGTCTTGGAGGATGGATTATGCCAGAGACCTGGAGTCAGACTGACCCCTTTCTGGTTCTGGGGGGCCCTGGCTGGAGGTTAGGCCACAAGCCCTCGGAGGAGCTGCAGGACATGTTGCTAGAAAGGTTTCTATAGAAAGGCTGGGAGCCCTTGGCTCTGAACATGAACGCTGTTCTGGTTTCTAAGAGTCTGCATTTGTCTATTTGGCATCCACCAATCACAGGCCCAAACTCACAGCCATGGGTGTTTACATCTCCCCTGTGACCCACAGCCCACACCCTGAGCCACCTCCTTTATTCAGTGCTCACACACCAAGCCAATATTCCTCCCCCAACAAATCACCCAGGCCAGGTACCAGACAACTGGGGACAGCCCCTGTGCCCCAAGGTCCCCAGAATTACTCAAACTCACCAACCCTATGCTGTTCACTCTGTCCTGCCTTGCCTTTACTGCAGAAACCCCAATAAAGCTCTGGCCTAGACACCCCTCTCACTCCTCTGTCTGCCTCCTGACGGACCCTGGTGCTTTCCCATGTGGCCCTGTGTGGTGTGGCAAGCCCTCTGTTCTCAGGAAATGTAAGTCACAAAAACCTTCTCTGTGGAGCCAGCCTCTCCACATCACTACTCAGTCACCTCCAGAAATTAAAATCCTGCGGGCACCTTTATTTTTTGTCTACTGAGGCACGGAAAGATGGCAGAAAGAGCCCGTGGTACCATTTTGAGACAAATGTTTTGATCTGAATAATTCTGAAACAGATCACTCTTCTTGAAGAAAAGGTTTTTAGGGGTTCAGCCTATTTGTTCAACACATACCTACTGAGCACTGCTGGGGTGGGCATGGTGGATCCAACAGAAAAAGAGGTGAAACCACAGCCTCCAAGAGCTGGGTGTTGGGATCCCTGACAACTTCCCCATGTTCCTTACAATCAGAGTAGCCCTCCCTCCTGCAGTTCCAGCTCCCCCAGGAGCCTCTCCTACCACAGTTAAATCATCAGCTGCCTCCTCTCCAGGCAGAGTTTGCCCCTGACAAGGAGAGGATGATGACGAAAAGCTCACCAACATCCATGCCCCGCCCAGGGGTGCTCCCCACTGGGGGCACGTTTTCATCATTTTCAGAGGTGTGCCTTGTTCTCTGAGGACAGTGCAGGCTCCACCACTGGGCTTTCTCACACCTGTAACTTTCCCAGGGCATCTCTAACAGGCAGCATGTCTCTGGTCACTGCTGGAGAGCAAATCGTACTGCACACAATCGATGCCTGATTCTCGCTGATGGACATGTTTACTCGGGGGAACCTTGTAGGAAGAGAGAATCTTAAGCGATAGGTGGGGGTTGCCCACATTCATGAGTCACCGGTGCTCCCTGCAGACACTTCACGTCCTTGAGGAAGTGCCCTGGCTCAAACGTCTGCCTGGCCCTGGTGTGCATTTCCAACTCAGGTATGCCTCAACTTCTCCTATGAGAGGGAATGAAGAATCATCCGTGAACCTTACCATTTGCAAATCATGGGATGAACCTACCTCCAAGGCATCCTGCACAGGAGTAGATCCTCTGGGTTTAAGCTGAGATTCCCAGTCTAAAATAAATTGAAAAAAAAAGAAAAATTACCTTCTTTTAGAAAGAAGTAGTGGTATGAAATTGACACACACAACACGTACTTTTTTTTAATACTGACCCTAAACTTGGGATAACACTGAAAGGGAAGAAGCTATCAGTGAGCAAAGGGAGACTCTGAGGAGCAGGGCTGTGTGTGGAAATTGGCAGTGATGGGAATGAGGTGGAAATAAGGGGTTTTTTTACCCCAGCGGAAGAACCCATGAAGATTGAGACTGATGTTGTCAGAAAGAGAGGGTTATCTGACAAACAAGTAAGAAGCAATTAGGTAGGGAACACACAAAGAAACGTTCACTTTAAAGAAGAAATGGACAATGCGTGTGTGTGACACGGAGAAACCGGAACCCGCATCCACCGCTGGTGAGAAGGCAAAATAGTGCACCTATTTTAGAAAGCAGTTTGGCAGTTCTTTGGAAAGTTAAAAAAATAAAATGACCCAGCAATTCTGCTCCTAAGGATATACCCCAGAGAAATGAAAACATGCCCGCATAAAATCTTGAACACAAATGTTCAGAGTAGCTCTACTCACAATCGCTAAAAAGGGGAAACAACCCAAATGCCCATCATCTGATGAATGGAAAAACAGAATGCAGCCTATCCACATGATGGAATGTTGTTCGTCCTCAAAAAGGAACAAACCATTTCATGCTACAACATGGATGAACCTCAAAAACGTGATGCTGAGGGAAAGAAGTCAGATATCAAAGATCGAATGTTGTTGATTCCATTTCTATGAAATGTCCGGAACAGGCAAATCCAGAGAGACAGACAGTGGATTAGTGCTGCTGGGGGCGGGGGTGACTGCTAACAGGTATAGGGCTTCTTTCTGAGGTGATGGAAGCATTCTGGCATTAGAGAGTAGTGATTATTGCACAACTCTGTGAGCAAGCTAAAAACCTCTGAATGTACACTTTAAAGGGATGAATTTTACAATATATGAATATCTCAATTTAAAAAAAGAGACAGATATCAGAACAGATCTTTTTCTAAGGCAAACAATAAGTGTGAGAGGGCAGTTAGAAAGTAAAAACAGAAGAAAAGCTAAAGGAACTCACACCAAATAGCCTCACTTCCCCTCAGAATAAAGAACCTTGAAAATGCTCTCAAACTGACACTTCCCAGCAGTACCACCCCCCGGACTGGGTGGGTCACAACACCTGACACCCCTGGTACTCACCCTCACCCGTGCTGCAGAGAATGCCTCGTTCCACTGCCCTCAGCTCTTCTCTCAGTGCCCCCTGGGAGACCAGACTGGGTTTGCATGGTGAAGTCCCTGCTCGAGGAGAAAGACACACATGCTGAGGGAGGGAGGGAGGGCTTGCAGAGGAAAATAAATGTTTCTCCAGCCTGCCCGCCTTCCACCTGGGCCTCAGTTCCTGACCCTGAGCAAGTATTCGGGATAGTTAAGTGATCACGTCCAATGTCTAATGAACTCAGTGAGCTTCTCTCACAAGGGCCCAAACCGCAAACACCCTCCTCTCTGCCCCATGGAGCTGAGGCTCTCTGAGTCCCCAAGACCAAGACCAAGCTCACTGAGACCCACACAGGTCCTGACAACGGAGAGAATTAAGTGGACGCAATACATGGAGCTGTTATCCCGGGGAAGCCAGTGAACATCAAATCCTACGAAATCCACACGGCAACTTTGTGGTCACATGGCAGACACTTAAAAAGCATTTGGCGCCTGCATACAGGAAGGACCGGAGCAGTGCCAGCCTTACCCCTGGGAGCCAGGGTCCTGCAGTTGTCCAGCAGCACGTATCTGCACAGTTTCCTCCGAGCATCATCCAGCAACGCCCACTCCTGCATGAGCCCCACTGCCACATCCTCCAAGGTGACTGATTCCTAAGGCAGCACATATATTCCAGCTCAGCAAGGACCATGCCCACCATTCTGTAGGACGGGCGGTTATCACTGGGGCGGGCAGACCCACTTTAAGGACAGACAGAGTGCTCTCTCCAAAGCAGGGCTGGGCAAACCCAGCCTGCTCCCTGTTTGTATAAATAAAGTTTTACTGGCACACAGCCACACCCATTCGTGTATCTCTATGGCTGTTTTTGTGCTAAGGGCAGAACTGAGGAGTTGCTAAAGGGAGATCATATGGCATGCCCAGCTGAAAATAATTACTTTCTTTTAACATCTGGACAAACCTGGAAATATAAGCTTTGGCTCTTTGTTGCTCCACTAACCAGCGAAGACAGAGCCTGATCTCAGCTTTAAAGACCTTTTCCTAAACTCCTTATTTAAGTTATCAAAAGTTTTTTGTTTGTTTGTTTGAGGGGAAGGTAATTAAGTTTATTTATTTAGTTATTTAAATGGAGGTGCTGGGGATTGAACAGGGCCTCATGCCTACCAGGCACGTGCTCTACACTGAGCTCTACCTTCTCCACAAGGCATCAAACGTTTGGGCTTGACCTTTTAATATTCATGAAGTCCCTAGGACACCTCCGCAGACATATATAAGACATACATAAGTCATCTTTTATGCCTGTTAAAACAGGACTTCCACTTCATCTGAGAAACTTCATGACCTTTTAATCTCAGAGTCTCTAGAACAGCACTGTCTGATAAAGCTCTCCGTGACGGTGGGAATGGCCAATGCCCACACCTTCCAAAAAGGCAGCCACCAGCATCTTGCCAGAAAGGCTGCTGAGCACTTGAGACATACAGCTTGGCTGACTGAGAAACTGAATTTTTCATTTTGTTGGAACTTTAATTAATTTTATTTTTATATATCCATGCGAGTTTTCAGTACGTCTCACAAGGCATGGCAGGGACGGCCCTGGAGGAGCTCTGCTGCTCCTGGCTCTAAAGGAGCCCTGCACTGCAGCCAGACTCCAGAATTAGGCCCAGAGTCGCGGGGTAACTGGGGCAACCCTCCTCCCAAGCCAGTTCCCTCCGGAGGTCAGGCATTGAAGGTTGTCAGGTCCCCAGGGTTAGGGCTAAAGATGCCCCACACTTCCCCTTCCCTTTCTTCCTCAGTTGGGGAGGGGGGCAGGGAGAGAGGGGACAGGGCCCAGAGTACATAACTGTCACCCCCCCCCACAACCATCCCAACTCCCCCCTTCCTCCTCACCATGACACCAGTGCCAGGGTTTAAAGTTTCAGTAAGTATCCTCCCTGCAATAAAAGAGACATGGAGGTAAAAGAAGAAATGAGGGTGGAAGCAGAACACCGAGCAGGCGTCTGGCACAGGTAACCCCATTTTTGTAGGCCACCAGCAGGACAGCCAAGCAAAACAGCGATACATGGAAATTATCTCAATAAGCAGCATGTTGGGCCCCGAGCCACCTTTCACACCACAGCCCCTGACCTCTTCTACTGGTTCCTCCCACCTAATAAAAGGATCGTTTCTCCTCTTATGTCCCCTCAAAACACCTCTAACACCCTCTCCTTTCCCTCCACTGCCCTTACCAAGTTGTAACTTCCATATTTATTTGTTTAGGTGAGTTTGCCTCTCTCCAAATACAGTGTAAACTCTCGAAGTATAGACCTGTGTCCACCTTTTTTCAGGACTCCAAATCCTGCCACCAGCACAGCATGTGAATGCCTACTAAGTACTTTCTGTATTAAAGGTTGGCAAATTTTTTCTGTAAAAGGCCAGACAGCAAAATGTCTAAGGATCTGGGGGCCATATGATCTGCATCGCCACTATTTCACTGTGGTTGTAGAAGTGAGCCTTAAAAGCCCTAATATTAAAAAAAGACATCCCATTTACAGCCAACTCAACTTCAATTTCCAGTACTAATAAAGTTTGTGCCATCTTTTTCCCGGAGCCCCCATGTTTTGAAGCTTTATGGTGATTTATAGGATGGAGCCAACTGGAAAAGAACTGAACAGTCTTACTGTTCCTTGATGTTAAACAAGGCTTGTGACAAGAGAAATGGATTTCTTAAGACACGCTCCCCTTGCAATGAAGAAAACTGATACTCACAAAGTAAAAGTCACAAATTAAAAGCACTGTCAAAAGAAAGAAGGAAAAGAAGTAAGGAAGAGAAAGGAAAGGGAAGGGAAACGCAAGTTTAACTAACAGGTCCTAAGTTAAAGAACTGCAAATCGTCAGTCACCAAAAAAAACCTCATCTAATTCATCCCTTGATAGAGTACATTCAATTATTACAATTCACAGAAGAAGTCACTCAAACCAATCTGCATATGTAGACTCACATTTAACTTTTCATCTGCAGAGCTAGATAATATGAAATGTAGTATGAAATAAAACGTGATGTATTAGTAAACAGTTATCCTGCATAAGGGAGACAGGGTAGGCCTACAAATCAGGGAGGACGAGTGAGTGCTGGGGACAGCCAACGTCACCATTCCTTTGCTGCAGGACCTAACTGTACTTCGTGATTTCCCTTTCAATAGCTGGATGACAGTCCTCTTTCTGCCCGAATAAGGGGGACCCAAGGGCGACAGACTGGGCAGGGGGAGCCCGGCTGCAGAACCGAGCTGTGGGGGCCCCATTAGGGCCCCGGGGCGACCGCGGAGAGGAAGCACCTTGGCCCCGGGCAGCCGTCCTCAGCGCTCCAGCTGCTCCCCGCGCCCGAGGACGCCCCTCCCCGCCCTCCCGAGACGGCCGGGCCGCACCTGCAAACAGCCGGAGACACTCCACCGCAGCACAGCGCACCGCGCC